TGACTCTTGCAAAAAATGGGCGCCAAAGCATAAATAGTTTAAAAGTAATGGTGAATTAGGCATAGGCACTTGAAAACTGTGTTCGGCCACCTTAATTCAGACAAACATTTCGCAAACGACTTGCGGACACGTGCCGAAACACAGATCTTTACTTGCAAAAACATTACGTTCACGTGTTAAAATAGGAAGTTCAAGCGACTGTTTCAATTTTCTTCCCATTTTTGGTAGCTTAAGATCAAGCAAGTGTTAATAAACGGTAGTTTGGCGGTGAATTTGCGAAGTGATCGAAAACTTGAAATATGATAGCTTTCATTGATTCGCAGGACATTTTAACAACATGCAAATTTCGCTTTGAAGCCTTTTTTCATTTCCAGAAATATAATGTCCTTTGTTTGACCAACAATGCTTCACATAAAGAAACTTATGGGAATGCATAACAAAGAGACATATCGGCACATATATACGCACATATGTGCGCGTATATACGCGTATATGTGAGCGTATTAACATACGCGAATACGCAAAATACACTCGCATAATATGCGTATGCGTAGTTGGCATATATCTGAGCTACACTGTAGCGCTAAAAAAGCTTATTATGAAAACGCCTTCAACAATTGTTGTGGGGATCAAAGGAAAACATGGAAAACAATCAATGAACTGACCTCAGAAAAGTCCAATAAAACTGCTATTAATGAAATGAACATAATGGGGCAAATTCTGGAGATCAGAGATGTTAAACTCCTTTTTCAAAGAAATTAGGCCAAACCTTAGTAGAGACATGACAGAAGTTGATAAATCGTTCGAAGAATTTCTTACTGAAACCGATAAAAATTTTGTTTTCGAAAAAACAACACCAAAGCATGTTTTTGTACTACTATCAAAGCTTTGTAAGTCAAAGGCAACTGGATTAGATAATATTTCAGTGAAACTTCTAAGGGAATGTCTTGATTCACTGGTGGAATCTATAACTCATATGTTTAATCAATCCCTTATGACAGGTATCTTTCCTGATGTGTGGAAATCTGCCAGAGTCACTCCATTGTATAAACATTCTGGGATGCACTCTGATCCGACAAGTTATCGATCAATATCAGTAATTCCAGTCGTGGCCAAAGTCTTTGAACGGATAATCTACGATCAGTTATATCATTATTTGACTAAGGATGACTTTCTCTTGTACCATCAATCTGGTTTCATTCCATGCTTAAGGCACTTATCGAAGCTACTGATAGCTGGGTCATGGATATAAACCTTTTTTTTTTATTCGCTAGCTTTACAAATTACAAATACAGTCACTTATGAAAGTGAAGAATGATCATCGCGATAAATTTTCCAATTTAAGCAATTGGAAAGAAGAAGCCTGAAAAAGTCAGGGCTCCCCGTTGAAGCCCTGATTTTTTCAGGCTTCTTTCCAATTGCTTAAATTGGAAAATCTACTGTGATGATCATTCTTCACTTTCATCTGCAACCGCAGTTCAAATATGAATTATTTCATATATAGTTCACATCACAGTCACTTACGTTACTCACAGTACAATACGGCTACTCACATTATTTACAGTACTAGTACAGTTGCTTACACTAGTAAATTTCAATTAGCTGAACTACTTACTTATTTATTAGCCACTTTTTATTAAATTTATCTAAAGTATCATTCTTCATACACACATATTTTTCTGTTTCAAACTTATTTTTAACCTTCAATTTGAAGCCAGTTATATTAGGTAATATTTGAGTTCTTCTGCAATCCCATAAATATATTTTAGCTATCAATAATAAGTAATTAAGTAAAGGGCATTTTAAAATTATAATACCTACAATAACATCTTTCATGGTAAGGTGCACAAATTCTTTTGAAAGAGAGCAAAAATAAGATTCAAAATCTCTCCAAAAACTTTCTGTTTTTATGCAATCAAAATGAAGATGGCTCAAGGTTTCTGATTCAGACTTGCAAAAGGAGCATTTATCTTCTGTGATAAATCCTTTCTTAAATAGCTTGGTATTAGTGAATAATATGGAATTTAGGACCTTGTATTGGAAGGCTCTCACGCAAGGTTCAAAGCTCACTCTGTGAGGCAAGATAAACACTTTTTATACTTGTTCCACGGAAAGTTTAGGAATATTTAAATCCCTTAGGGAGTTTTCAATTTTCGCTGTTGCATCCACGTTCTTATTTATGCTCGTGTACAGTCCTTGATAAAAGCGTTGTTGTTTGGACAATATATCAAAGGGGTCTGTAGTAATCAAACCACTGATCTTCAATTTTTGCATATATTTTTTGACGTGATTTTTTTTTCTAAATTAAGAAAATATTTTGTACTTTTCTCAGCATGCTCGTGCCAGCGGGCTCTTGCACGAATAATAATACCTTTTACTTTTACGTCTTCTTCATAAAATAATTCTAAACTTTTTTTAGCCGAATTGAGAATATCTACATTGAGGTTGTTGGGGTCTCTTTCGAATTCCATCTTTGCTTTAGCATATTTTTCTTGTAGATGGTTTTCTTTTTCATTCCTTTCCTTTGCCCTATGTTTTGAGTGCTAAATTGCATGAGCTCTAATATTGTATTTCAACCAATCCCAGATGTTTCGATTGTCCGACAGATCCTTGTAGCCTTCAGCTAGCCAGACAGGTATTTTTGATATAATATTGTTGAGATATTGGTCATCTTCCAAGAGAGCACAGTTCATTTTCCAAAGTCCAGGACCCTTGATTTGATTGTCATTATTATTTAATTCTAAAGAGATTGCCGAATGGTCTCTCTTGATAGCTGGAATTATATCTGTTGATGTAGTTAAATCATGTAGATTATTAGAGATCAACCAGTAGTCCAAACGGCAAAATATCCTCAGCCAGTTTTGGAACAACACCACTTGGTGAGTTAAATTTCTGACCACAAATGATAGCTGCTTTCCAAGCTACACAACTTGGCAAGTTAGATTTCTGACCATAAATTATGGCCAATTTTCAAACTACACCACTCGGTGAGTTAAATTTCTGAAAACAAATCATGGCCACTTTCTGAGCCACACAACTCAGCAAGTTAGATTTCTGACTACAAAGCTCAGGCAGAGGAGCGAAATAACACAGCTGAAGTTGAGCTCTGTCAATGCAGTTGTTTGTTGCTGACGACGGGCGATTTCGTCTAACAGGGCCAAACTCTACTTTTGCACCAGAAGTCATACATACCTCTTTAATGCATTGCTAAATGTTAACAATGATATCTTTTAGTCTCATGATATCCAGTCAGAAAGACTTGAAAGGAAAATTGACCACTTACAGCTTCCAAACTACAGATGTAAATGTCCCCAAAAACCCACACTTGAATGAAACAAAGACCTGCACTCGAAAGAAATGTACAGCACATGGTTTGGCGATGATGTCATTCGTTTTGCCCCTGCTGCGGGGCGGCCAAATCACACGCAATGATTGATACCGTTGATTTTCTAGGTGTTAGTATGCCTCGTTTCTTATCAAGTATAACATTAAGTGGACAATTAAAATCTCCTCCTACAATGATATTTTCTTCTTTGTCCAAATTTTTATTTTTCAAACATTCCTAGCAAATTGGCAAATAATTTGAAACTGTCTTTATCTTTGTTAGGTGCATAGATATTGATCAAGACATAAATTTTGTCTTTAATCTCAGCTTTTAGGATACATGTAATATACCATCCCAAGGGGTTTATGATTTTGGAGTGAGGAGTGCAATCAACACCTTTTTTGATCAAGATGCGCAGGCAACTCCACGAGAATTTGAACTTCCATGTGACACAATAATCTCGGCCCCCCATTCATTTTTCCACTGTGTTTCTATTTCTTCTTTTGAATGTATTTCTTGTAATAAGGAGAAATCAGCATTTTTCTTTTGACGCCAAGTATAAATTGTTTTTCTTTTATGAAATTTGCTAATGCCCTTCACATTTAAGGAAACCAATTTCAATGGCTCGACGCCCATTTTACGCTCTAGAATTGAATGCAAATTAAGTCGCAGAAGAACTCAAACATAACGTGATAATAAAAATAAGTACTGATTTCGCCATATTGAGATAAGTTGCAAGAACCGGTGTTGAATCTGATCTCGGAAAAAAAAATTACATGAAGATGCACATGCTTAAAGAGAAATTACATATGACAAACAAATACATGTAGCAACAATTATCTAAAATTAATGTTAACAACAACTTGCTCTCTAATAATATTGTATGAACAAAAAAAAACAAGACAAATCTGGCAGTAAGTGGGACCATGGACACTGGGTGCTCCCTGGGATAGCAATGAGAGTGGGTGGTAGCGACACACTCTGGACAGGTAATTGGGTGGTTAGCAGACACACCCTGCAGACAAAGTGGGGTGGTTAGGGGACTCAAACCCCAAAGCATAAACACAACGTGGGGTGGTTAGCAGACACAAACCCCAAAGCAGAAACTTGGGCGGTTGGCGGACACACCCAGTGAATGAATTGGGGTGATAGCGCACTCACCCAGAGAACGAAGCCCCCCAGCCTAGCTGCTTAGGTAGCTAAGAATAAGATGGGGTAAGGGACCCACGCAGCCTGACGCAGGCGATAGCTAAGTGGAAGATGTGCACCCAAATTATGCCCCAAATACTGCCAGGTATGTAGTGACAAATATTAGTGCAACTTTAACAAGGTCTATGGGTGGTGGCTAGCTGGGCAGGGACTGCTTAGAGTATTGAAGCAGGTGTCGTGATGTATTGGGTATAGCAATTCCTGGACCAACAGCCAAGGGTTTGGATAAGCCAAGAGGGCAAGCTGGCCTCTGCAGCAGTAGTTGCAACCCTGATGTGGAAACTGTGGAATGCATAGGACTCTGTGGCAAAACCCAAGCGTTGAAGCTGGAAGCGCAGAATTGAGGTTACTTTGTCCCTGGTGAGAAATTGCCCTGTTGAGAAGAAATAAAAGGGGGTGGAATTGCCTGAAAGCTGGTGAGCCAGGTAACGATGCATTGCCTGTACTGCACAGACTGAACGGCCAGAAGGAGTGAACATAATGGAACAGCCCATCCAGAAGGGATCAGTTTTGGATGATTTCAGTTGCAATGATAAGGAGCCTGCAGAGGTAAAACTGATGTCTGAGTGGGACAGGTGTACCAGCAGGTTGAAGAGAACTGAAGATGGTGAGGTGAACTCGCTTGAACATAAGAAGGCAAAGAAGACCAGAGTAAAGGCTGACCAGAGCATGAGTTTGTCCTGCGATACGATCTGAGGGTCATTTGCCAAGGCTCCTTTTAGCTGGCACATGACTGACATGGTGATAGGTAGACGGCGGCGAAAGGAGAGTCCAATTGTCCACTTGATGCCTCGTAGAAGTAAACGATGAAGGGGGGCATCTGCAAACGGGTCTGCAAGGCTGTTTTCGATGTGGGCAAACTGGATACCAGCCAGATGCAGCTTAATGGTTGGGAAGCTGACTTGATCAGAGAAGCCAAGAGGCAAAATAACATAGTTGTAACTCTGATGCAGGGAAGGGGTTCCATTGCCTTGAACAACAAAAGGTAGTATACCTGCAAATTCCAGCATGGTAGGTGCGACGTGTGGAAGGTGCAATGGCTTGGGACTCCATGATTAAACCATAATGTGCAAGATTTTCTGTCTCCACACCTCTATATACCTGTCCACTGATGATTAATTTATCAACTTTAAAGCTAGCCTTTTGTCCTGTCTTCTTTGCCTCTTTCAAAACCGGATAGAGCTTCTGGTGGATTTCGTCGATCTCTTTCGGAAAATCATTTGCAATTCAAATTCCACTGCCTTTGAGGTTCTTAACAAAGGACCACATAAATTCCTTGTCCTTGTAAAACTGAATTTTGCAATAATCAGTCTCGGCTTGGAAGAGCATGCCATATCCTGCCGTGTTGGAATTCAATGCACTCGCTTAAAATGAAAGCCGTCAACATCTTCTCCTGGGATATTCATCTCCTCATGCATCATGATACAAACCAGTTCCTCTGTTCTAGTGTTGGATTCCCCTCGTTCATCTTCAATACTAATTATCTTAATATTTTCTCTCCTTGTATAGGCCTCTAGTTTACTGTTGCAGCGCTTTAAATTCATGACCTCTTCCTTAAGGGAGTTAAGTTCTTGATTACTAGTTTCTAAACCACTGTAGACGCAAACCATAGTGGCTTTTAGGTCTGTTATTTCAATAGCAGTGTTCTCTGCCGCTAGTTTCAACTGCTTATTCTCTTCTTCTAACTGTGTCATACATGTTTCAACAGCATCAAATTCGTCCACGACCTGTAAAACTTTGTTGAGTTTGGTGTTGATCTCAGCCATTTTCGAGGCATCATAGTAATGGCCGCCCGCTGGTGCATCTTCATCTGTCTGGGAACCATTTTCCCGTTGTCTTTTTTGCGTATTTTTCATATCTGTCACCGGTTTACCTTTGTTGTTATTGAGCATATCAGTTTCAGTGACAGAGGGCCAGTTTAAGCTTAAGAATTACATGCTCAGTTATTCCAGAGCTTCAAACACATGTCTTACCTCACTCCTGACCCCTAAAACCATGGACATAAACCATGGTCTTGTTAATGCCGTCGTCTTTGTAGATCTCAAAAAGGCATTTGATACAGTAGATCATGATATTTTGTAATGAAAATTGCAATACTATGGGATTCATTGGTCCAGCCATCAATGGTTTGCTTCTTATTTACTAGCTAATCGAACTCAGATTTTATACCTGGTGCAAATTTGGACACTGAATTGTCCGTAGAAGTTTTCGTAGCGTTGTACATCTGTACGCTTTAGTTTTATTAATATTGACTATACATGCAAGTTTCAAAAGTTAACAGTCTCATGTAAGGCCGTAGAGTCGTAGAGTCATAGAGTGGTAGATCCTTATAGCTTTATATTGCTTATTAGAGATATAGAGCGAAAACGTAATATTTTATTCATCTAAGCTACATGTATAATTACAACAACTGTTCATTTATTGTTTTTCAAAATGCAGAGTTATATTGCCCATTTTTCTTTTGAGTACTTAATTAGATGCAAGCTATATCATTTTCCACGATATTTTACTGTTATATATCTGTAATTTATAACCTTTACGGTTCTACCTGGTACAGCCGTAGAGTCGTACAAACAGGTAATGTATTTGTTTTGTTTTTACTGCTACATTTATCCCATTGTTCTTGTAGGTGCAGCCGAAGCATTTATGTTCCATGTATAAAGTTGTACCCACTTTTACGCATCTACCTCGTTACACCTCTGCGGCTATACTGCTCTACGCCTGTAAGGCTCTACGTAGAGTTTGAATGAACCTTCCCTCAAAAGTTTACTTACACTGTAAAACTCCCCTCAAATGAGTTTGTTATTTGCAGGGACAGACATTGGGTCCAACTTCTATCAAATCTTTTTTTTTTCCCATAGGTGATATTTCCATAACATCCTTTATTTTCTATTCATTTTGAGGGACGCTTGTTCACCTCATTATTGTGGTACCATACATTACGCTACAGTGGAAATTCATCCCTTGATTTCAGAGTTACATTATTGCTTTATTTA